AACACATATGCTTAACCAATGACCTGATCAACATTTCTACAACCCATGTTATGATATGCCTATGTTATTTATTTGCAGCTTAAACTGTTTGATCATTTGCCATTTTTTACCGTTCTATTTATTTTTACCATTCAATTGCAATACTAGCAAGAATGGAGGTTGACACTCTTGTGGTTTCATTTGCTTAGCTATTTGTTCATTATCATTTGCTTAAAAAAGCCTTAAATTGCTTTAGTTATTTTTATTATCTACAAATATGTGTTGGGTTTATAATGGTGGTAGTACTTTCAGTCATCATTTGTTCAAATGGAGGGTAGTGCACCACAAGGTAAAGCGATATGGGATTCCGAGGTAGTAGAGCTTTTTTGTGATTTGTGTATCAAAGAGGTTGAAGGTGGACACCGACCTGGAACACATCTTGACAAAGTTGGATGGGAAAATGTAATTCAAAAATTTAACAAAGCAAACAAACAAGTGTATAAAAGAACACAATTGAAGAATAAGTGGGATGCTTTGAAGAATGATTGGAAACTTTGGAAGGAACTTGTTGGGAAGGAAACTGGTTTAGGTTGGAACAATAAAAAGAATACTATTGATGCATCTGAGGAATGATGGCATAATAAATTGCAGGTATACGAATGAAGTTGCACATTTTTTATAGTGTAGTGTTGGTGTGTGGAAGGTTTAATTTATTGAAGTATTTTTACAGATTCATCATAACGCATCGAAGTTTTGCACTCGGGGAATTGAACCAGAGTTTGAGGAAAAGTTGAATAGGATGTTTACTAATACTGTGGCCACAGGGGTGTATGCTTGGACACCCGGATCTGGACAGATGCCATGTGAGGATGATAAAACAACAAATGAAATGATATCTCCACTTGAACAACTTGAGAGTAGTGGATCGTCAGATGCACCTATCAGAAGAGAAATGCCACAGGACCCTAAGAAGAAGCGTCCAATCGAGCTAGATGAAGGACAAAAGAAATTCAAAAGAGGGAAAGGCAAGGATAAAGTAGGCAGTGCGGCCAAATTGTCTCAACAAATTGAGCGCCTTGTCACTGTAGTGGAGACTATTAGTACCGGATCATCCATTGCAGAAACTAAAAGACCAGATTATAGCATTGCACGAGTTATTGAAGTCCTTGATTCTCTACCTGGATTAGAGAGTGGGAGCGACTTGTATTTTTTTGCTATGCACTTGTACGCAGACACGATTAAAAGATAGTCATTTTTGGCTTTGAAACGACCTGAGTTGTAGCTCAACTGGCTTAAGTTTGAGCACGGCCTAGGATCATCCTCTTAAATTCCCTTGAGTGTCCCTTGAGTCTTCCTTTACTATGAGTAATATTTTGGTGTGGCTTTCATTAATTATGTACCATATTGTTGTTTTTTCCATGCTTTCGAATACATTGTATTGAATATTGTACTTTATTTTTATCCATCAGACATTGTTATTTTCCATTATTTCATTTGAACATTGTTTACATGCAGGTTTCTTCATTATTAGCTGGGATGTCTGACAATATTACCCAGCTACGTTTACAACTTTTTGTGTTACTGCACACATCATTGAACAATATTACAATAAGTATATTCACAAAAATCTTTGTATGAACTTTGCTCAAACTGGAAATATGTGAGTAATGGAATTATTAGGCGGACATGAAATTAGAAGTTATAGAATGTTCAGAATGGATAAGGATGTATTTATGTCCCTAAGTAATGATTTGCAATGTAACTATGGATTACAGGGATCAAGAAATATGTCCACGTTTGAAATAGTCAGAATGTTTTTGTTCATTTTAGGTCAGAGTGCGGGAAATCGTTCAACACAAGAACGATTTCAACACTCTGGTGAAACAATTAGTAGATATTTTGAGTATGTTCTGGACATTGTCTGTCGTATGAGTATAGATGTTATAAAGCCTGATGATCCAGAGTTTAGTGGAGTGCCTCAAGAGATATTAATGGATTGTAGATATATGCATCATTTTAAGGTATTCTCTTAGTTCATTATATGATTCCTTCCTTATTTAAAGTATTCATTTTAAACATAGAACTTTCTTCTTTTTAGAACTGTATTGGTGCAATAGATGGCGTACACGTTCCAGCTACAATACGACCAGAAGATCAAGTTTCATTACTGGTAGAAAGCGTGTGCCAACCCAAAATGTGATGGCTGCCTATGATTTCAATATGAAATTTACATATGCATATGCAGGTTGGGAAGGTAGTGCTCATGATACAAGAATATTCTTAGTAGCACTACGTCGTACAAGTTTGAAGTTCCTAAAACCACCAAAAGGTTAAAACCTCTTCTATATTCATGAGAACTCTATTTTATAATTTACTAAGTCTTTGTGTTTGTATCTCAATAGGTAAATACTATTTAGTTGACGCGGGTTATCCACAATTAAAAGGATTTTTTGGACCTTATAGAAGAGAACGATACCATTTAGAACAATTTTGAATGGGTCGTCGACTAACTGGCTATAAAGAGGTATTTAACCAAGCACATTCTTCTCTTCGAAGTGTCATTGAACGCACATTTGGTGTCTGGAAGAAAAAATGGAAAATTTTAAAAGACATGCCAAATTATTTATTTGCAAAGCAAGTGAAAATAGTTATTGCTACAATGGCGCTCCATAACTACATTAGGAAGCATGATAAGCGTGATCTACATTTTCAAAGGGTCGAAGATAATCCAGATGATTTCGTTTATGAAGAGAATCAACAAGATGACAATAATGTAGAAGAGAATGAAGCTTTATTATCACTGGAAATGGATGAAGTACGAGATCAAATTGCAGCAAGCTTAATGAATACGACTTAATTCTTTCCATTTGAGTTAAGTTTGTAGGTATATAAGTGTGTATTTGTAGGACTTAAGTTTGTATTTGTAGGTATATACGTGGTGTGTGTGTATGGATATATATGTTTGTATTTATGTGTGTGTGTGTGTATGGATATATATGTTTGTATTTACGTGTGTGTGTGTGTGTATTTTGTATTTTGTTCTTTTAGTTGTAACAACAAAATCATAGCATCGAAGTTTCTTGCAGATTTTTTAGAAGAACCCCACCAAAATTGATAATTATGGTATTTGGTTGCGTTAACAAGGTTGACAATTTATCATTATGCTCTTTTTAGTTGTAATTACATTGTGAATGAAGAAATGAAAAAAAAAAGAATTAATTATCATAAATTTATTGTTAAAAAATTCAAAATCATAAGATTATGTTTTTTTTTTAAGTTAAACAAGTATTTCTAAATACCAAAAATAATTATATATATTTAAGTTTCATACCATGTCTATTTTGGTCATTTTACATACCCACAGTAATTCCACCTCAAAATTTACCAAACACTATTATACTGATTTTGGAATCAGCACAACTACTATAATTACAATTTACCAAACACTCAATTACTTCTTATAACAGCTGCTTCTTCCTTCAGCACAGCTAAAAGTAATTTTTTTTAAATCCACAGCACTACCAAACTAAGCCTTAATTTAAAAAAACAGTAGTAGCTTCGGCTTTTCACAAAATAATAATAATTTAAACCAATAGACCTAGTAGGTCCAATAATTACTTTCGAATAGGTTGGGGTGTTTAACATAGTTTTTATTTTTATTTTTGTCAATTAAAGATAAATAAACACTATAACTTTTCAATAAATATTTAGAATAATATTTTTAAATAACTTAAATGAGTCACAATGATTTTAAGTCTTGTAATAAACCATAAGTTCATAATTATGTGTTATTCAAACTCTAGCACAAGTTTAACTATGAAATTCTTTTTCACACAAAAACAAAAATTCTGAGGCCATCTGAGCTGGTGCCAGATTTGTGGGCTCACCAGGGCTGGGCGGCGCAGGTAGGTTAGGTGCGGAGGCGGAGCTTGCGTTCGCGGGAGGAGGGGTGAGCCGCCGTCAATTTTGGGCTATTCGTAGGGAAGAGGGCTTCGCTTGGTCTACTGGTGGGAACTGGCTCGGAAGATCTTAGCTTGTCGCTCATGGTTATTA